TCTCCAGCCCCTGGCAGGCTCCTGGGAGCTGGCAGACTGCTCCTGGGGAGCAGTGGAGGGTTGACTGCCAGTGGCTTGCTGGCTCATGTTGGGGCCACTGGCTCAGGGGCAGTGACTGCTGGCTCTGGGCTGGCAGGCTTGGAGCTGGCACAGGCACTGTGGCCAGAATCAATCCCTTTAAGGGTTCTGGAGCGGGGAAGAGAGGAGTGTTCTTGGTTGAGACTGGAGTGGCCAACAGGGCACCCTAGGAAGGCTAGAGGCCCTCTATTTCGATATAAGTGTCTACACAAAACTTATTTCAAAATAGCTATTTTGAATTTGGTGTTATTCCTCGTGGAATGAGGTTTACTAAATTTGAAATAAGCGTTCCGCTATTTCAAATTAATTTCGAAATAGTGGTTTGGCTGTGTAGATGCTAGTAAACTTATTTCAAAATAACGGCTGTTATTTTGAAATAACTGCTGTGTAGACATACCCTAAGGCTGTGTCTAGACTAGCAAGTTTTTCCACAAAAGCAATTGCTTTTGCGGAAAAACTTGCCAGCTGTCTACACTAGCCGCTTGAATTTCCACAAGAACACTGACTTCCTACTGTCTGAAATCAGTGCTTCTTGCGGAAATACTATGCTGCTCCTGTTCGGGCAAAAGTCCTTTTGCGCAAAGCTTTTGCGCAAAAGGGCCAGTGTAGACAGCTCAGATTTGTTTTGCGCAAAAAAGCCCCGATCGCGAAAATGGTGATCGGGGCTTTTTTGCGCAAAAGCGCGTCTAGATTGGCACGGACGCTTTTCCACAAAAAGTGCTTTTGCGGAAAAGCGCCGGTGCCAATCTAGACCCTCTTTTCCGCAAATGTTTTTAACAGAAAACTTTTCCATTAAAAGCATTTGCGGAAAATCATGCCAGTCTAGACGTAGCCTAAGAGACTGATGTAAGACTTCTTTGTGATGCAAAATTCCCATTGAAATCAATATGTAGCCCCAGCCCTTTAAGTTCCACAGTTAAAAAATTAAACGAATAGACAAAAATGATCAACCATAAAGCCAATAGCTCAAGAAAAACCATCTGTGCTAATTAGAGAACAACAAAATTCAATTAAAATGCATATCTTGATATTTAGAGCAAGGTGTTTCAGATGAACAGGCTCATGGCAAAGCGAAGTAAATTTCAAACCCAAATGCTGATGCAGGAAGATGCAAGTAAAAGTTAAGGTTTCTTTCCCTGGTGCTTGTTTGGGTCTTTCATTCTGTATATGAAGAAGAGTACGATGACGTAGTACATGGTGCTTTTCAGGAGAAGGATGATGTATATTAAATATGCAGTTGTGTGTGTGAAACTATTTTTAAGATCTAGAAAAAAATAAAAATCAGTTAATGGTGCTTATTCTTCAATTTTGAAGAAAAATAAATATAAAAGTATGCATATGATGGCAGAAGTTCTATATAATATTCCATTGTAGTAACTATACAGGCTAACCAAATTATTTATAAATGAGTGTGCCTTGCCAGACAGGTCTACATTGCAAACATACCTGTCCATCCCACAGAGCTAATAGAAAAGAGGTGTACTCAGTGCTGGCATCCCTACATTCTATTACAGAGCAAGCAGGATGCTAGGGCTTCTCATATGGACAGTTAATAATAGGGTATCACCATGATTTTCAGATCTGGGTGCCTAATTTGTTCTAAGTCTGTATTCAAAGTTTAATAAGTGGTTTAATTTTAAGATTTCCTGATTACCCCCAAATTAGCATGAAATCAGTTGGGCCTTCAAGCTTTTAGCACCTTTAAACACCATTTGAAAATATTGGCCTTAGAAACTTGTTATAATTAACATGCTAAATATTAAACAGTTGCAAATGTAAGCTAAAGAAAAATGACACATTCCATGTTAAAGCACCAGGAATATCACCAAAACATGTATTTCAGCTGAACCTCTGCAGGATTTAACCTAAGCTTTCATGCTCATTTGGTGCTGGACACATTGCATTAACTTATAGTTAAATTCTTGGCAGTATTCCACATCTAGAATAATTGTGTGAACTATTTAGAGAATATTTTCATTTTTGTCCTCACCATATGAAACCGTGCTTAATTCTTAACTATATTGTAGAGAAAATGAGAAGTGAACCCAATTACCTGCGGGCAGCATGTTGATACAACCTTCTATGGCTCTGGAGGTGCCTGAAAGGACAGAAGCATAACATGTAAAGAGCTATATTTGTCAAAAGGGTTCTTGTTCAAAATTCAAACATTTTTGATGTTCAAAGAAAAATGTGTAAAAATTCTGTAAATACACTGCCTCAAATATGAAAAGTTACTATTTTGAACAAATCAGTATATACATTCCATCCACTAATCCTCAGTAGCTGGTAGTTCTTGGGCAAAACCATGCAGAGTTAAAACGGGAAAAAATGCACATGTTCCCACATGTAACTTTGCTTGCAGAAGGCATGCTTTAGCTGTTAAAGTTGCAAATAGATCAATCAGTGTAGCCTCCAATGCTGCAAGGAGATCAATTGAAATCTTTGGAATTAGCATGGGTGCAGGGGTCTGCACTAGCAAATTTGATTGCAGGATCTGGATGTGAGCCCTTCTGTGTACAGAAACTTCTGTTCGCATAGAGCCAGATGCATTTTGTCCCACCAAATTACTCAGTTGTGTTTGTCCATTTACAATACATATATTTGGCAGATGAAAATCAGGCCACCTGATTTGGCTTTAGCCTGAGGAAGCTTGGAATTGTCAGTGTTTGGGACAGTGGTAATATTGTTTAATAGCTGAACAACAGACAGAAGAAAATAATCCTGATCGTGCAGTCCATGGCTCATCTCTTAGGCATTTTGGATATGCAAGAGAGGTGTTGCCAATAAACCCTTTTCCCCCCATTGTATTTGAAAGAGAGAAATGTGTATGTGTTATTAAATACCTCTACGCTGACAGATCTGTAGATAAGATGTGTATTGCCAATCACTAAATAACTTTAAAATGTGCTTTTATTTGATGGTATTTTAAGAACTGAAATGTAAGGCTCATTGAGTAGATTCTGAGCTAGTGTCAATTAGCCTGACTAACTTTAACAGATCTTGGCCAGTTTACTTACACCAGGTGTGAATCTAGTTATTTGCAAATAGAAATTGGAGAAATACTAATTCTATCATAAGAATTGAAAAGGTTTTGTTCTTGCAGAGGTAAATTAGCTCTCCAATAGAACCAAACAGATTTCTTCTCAACATACATTTCTCTTTCTCTTGCATTATCTTTTTCATTTTGGTTTGTGTAATTATTCCTGTCCGTTTTAACGCGTTAGATGCCATGTGTGTGTCGTTACTTCTGTTGCAATATATAGTACTTGTTGAAATTAAACACTGAAAACCAGGACCTTGGCTGGTGTGAATCTACAATCTCCATTGACTTCGGTGTAATTAGGCTCATTTACCCTAGCTGAGGATCTCAGTCAACATTTTCTTTCATTAGAGAAAGATTTTAAACTGGGAGAAAGGAGCCAAAACTGAGTGTATGATGGAAATGCAAGCTTTAGTGAGAGCCAGCTGATGGAGAGATGGAAACTAATATTAGCCTAAAGAGAAATGTGTGTCCTTTTTAGGAACAATAATGCATTTTATTGTTGAATTGCAAAGAAACAATGAACCCACTAAACAGAGAACTGGCTTAAATATAGAGAATATACCTTGGGATTGGAGAAGGATAGAATCTCGTCCGCTTTCATGTTCATATGTGAGGTTATATGTCTTGTTAGGATCATCAACAGTCAGCCAGCTACTCACTGAGTATGAGTTTTGCTTATCATCCGGGGACCAAATTTCCCCACGTATTGCATTTTTCTCTTCATTTGAACTTTTCCAAGTCACCTTAATAACATTTGGGAAAAAATCCTCAATGAGGCACATGTGTGTTCCTTTTCCATCTTGTTCAGTAAGAAACAGGGTCTGGATCTTCTTAGGATCAAATTTTGCTTCTTTGCCTGGATTAATTTTAGAGAGAGAAATTAAATTGTTAGTAATTAAGTGAATTGAGAATTTCATTTTACACTTTTGAGACAATAAAGAATTCACAGATTTGATAGTGGGCTAAAAGAGAGGCAACTTCTTTTCTTGCATCCTGTTCCTGCAGATTGCATTCAAGCACAAAACTAACTGAGTTGACACATTTTGTTGCTAAATGCTTTGTAACTATTTTAAGTCAATAATATGTGGTCACAGCCTAATAAATCTTGAAGATGGGAGTAGATTGTTCACTTATGAGTTACAGATTCAGGGAGTTGGAATTGCAGATGTGCTTGAGTTGAACACAGGCTTTTGTGACACAAGAATCTGTGATAGCATCTACTCAATTGGCTTCCAAACTAAAAATATATTGAATTCTTTTTGAATGAATGTTAAGTACAGCATTATATCCAGTTAATTTCAAAACATTGGCGACTTAGAAAATCTTCCCTGTATTTAACCAAAACTTGTGTATAAAAGACACCATGATAATGAGAGGAAGGGTACACATATACTGCAATAAAAGACCCATTGCATGACCAGATAGGACCCAAGCCTCCTGATTCTGATTTGCAGGGTGGGGGCACAGGATTAAACATTGCAGTGTAGATATTCAGGCACGATATGGAGCACAACCTCTGTAATTCCACGATGGAAGTTGTCTATGATTCCAGGCTCCGGTCACAGCCTGATCCATGAGCTGGTGTCAATTGACCCAGGCTCTGAGTCATGGTGCTCTGGGATTATTGCCATGTAGATGTACCTGAAGGGAAACGTATTAAACATTCCACTAGCCTTTTAAAAAGGCCTCTAAAAATCACTAGAGTTAAATTTGCTCTGGACTAACTGCCTTTTCTGATTAAGAATCTTAGCATCTTTAAAAAGAAAATAAGGGCTTCTCTCTACTACCAGGAGATTGACACTGGAGCAATCAATCCAGTATGGGATGATTTGGCAGATCTACCACAGATTACTCTCCCATCGATTCCAGTAATTCACCAGAATGAGAAGTATAAGGTTAGTCAATGGGAAAGTTTCTCTCATTGACCTAGTGCAGTATAGACACCATAATAAACCAATCTAAGCTACGTCAACTCCATTTGTGTTGTTCACATAGCTGTAGTTGCATAACTTAGATTGATTTAACCCTATAACATAGACCTGCTCTGAGAGAAGTAATCTTTAGGATTTTTCCATGCTCTGAAACTTAAACCATTTTTCAGTTATTCAGCTTAAACAATGTAAGAATGTACCAGATGTGTTCTATGGCACATCCATCCGATAAACCATCAGGGGTACTGTTGCTGAATGCCATTTTGGGAAAGCACGGAAAATACATTAAAATGTACCACTGAATGACAAAGTCAATTAAGAAATTAGCAAGGGTGGTGCAAACTGAAATGACTTTGTTCATGTATTTGACAAGCTTTATGGAGCTTTATGCTCAACACTTCTGAAATCAAACCACTTAATGCTCAGATAAAATATTTAACGGTCTTAACTTTACTCAACCACTTCTGAAAATCTTGATTATAAAGCATTACTAATAATGGAGCACTGAACAGAACTCAGTTATCAAATTTCTCTGAAGAGCGGAGGGGAAGTTGCTGCCTGTGTCCAAATCATGGAGTGAATTAGCAAATTGCCAGTTAATGAACTTCTGTTATATCACGTGAATTATTTTTAAATAATTCTGTCTCAGTATATATTTTGTCACATTTGAAATAGAACTCCTTACTCGAATCATTATTCATCTGCTTATTTCATATGGCTAACAGTAAGTGATACATTTTTAAAACAGTGTATTGAATGTGCTAGTTATCACAAGAATCGAGCAGGTTCTCAACACTGTTATTGCAGCTAATCTCTATCCCCTGTGTGTCACTGAGGGATACAGCCAAGATAATCCGGTTCCCAAACCAGCCAACTGCCAAAGAAGTATTCTGTACAGAAAGAGGCAACATTCTTATAAACATGAATCAAAAAGAAGAAACGGAAGGTTGTTGATATTTCACTAATGTCAAAAGTCCCTAAACAGGCATCTTGTGCATTCTCCATTCCAACACTTAATTTTAAGTGAAAATTAGAGGGCATCTAACAAAATAGTTGGCCTATACCCCACAAAACATACTGCATGGAATTTTTAAAGGCCACAAGACAGGATTTAGGAGTCCACATCCTTTTGAAATTCAGGAGCCTTTGAATTTCAGTCATTGTCGTTAATCAACCGAGATGAAATACTGTAGATTAATAATTAAGCTGATGGAGAGATGGAAACTAATATTAGCCTAAAGAGAAATGTGTGTCCTTTTTAGGAACAATAATGCATTTTATTGTTGAATTGCAAAGAAACAATGAACCCACTAAACAGAGAACTGGCTTAAATATAGAGAATATACCTTGGGATTGGAGAAGGATAGAATCTCGTCCGCTTTCATGTTCATATGTGAGGTTATATGTCTTGTTAGGATCATCAACAGTCAGCCAGCTACTCACTGAGTATGAGTTTTGCTTATCATCCGGGGACCAAATTTCCCCACGTATTGCATTTTTCTCTTCATTTGAACTTTTCCAAGTCACCTTAATAACATTTGGGAAAAAATCCTCAATGAGGCACATGTGTGTTCCTTTTCCATCTTGTTCAGTAAGAAACAGGGTCTGGATCTTCTTAGGATCAAATTTTGCTTCTTTGCCTGGATTAATTTTAGAGAGAGAAATTAAATTGTTAGTAATTAAGTGAATTGAGAATTTCATTTTACACTTTTGAGACAATAAAGAATTCACAGATTTGATAGTGGGCTAAAAGAGAGGCAACTTCTTTTCTTGCATCCTGTTCCTGCAGATTGCATTCAAGCACAAAACTAACTGAGTTGACACATTTTGTTGCTAAATGCTTTGTAACTATTTTAAGTCAATAATATGTGGTCACAGCCTAATAAATCTTGAAGATGGGAGTAGATTGTTCACTTATGAGTTACAGATTCAGGGAGTTGGAATTGCAGATGTGCTTGAGTTGAACACAGGCTTTTGTGACACAAGAATCTGTGATAGCATCTACTCAATTGGCTTCCAAACTAAAAATATATTGAATTCTTTTTGAATGAATGTTAAGTACAGCATTATATCCAGTTAATTTCAAAACATTGGCGACTTAGAAAATCTTCCCTGTATTTAACCAAAACTTGTGTATAAAAGACACCATGATAATGAGAGGAAGGGTACACATATACTGCAATAAAAGACCCATTGCATGACCAGATAGGACCCAAGCCTCCTGATTCTGATTTGCAGGGTGGGGGCACAGGATTAAACATTGCAGTGTAGATATTCAGGCACGATATGGAGCACAACCTCTGTAATTCCACGATGGAAGTTGTCTATGATTCCAGGCTCCGGTCACAGCCTGATCCATGAGCTGGTGTCAATTGACCCAGGCTCTGAGTCATGGTGCTCTGGGATTATTGCCATGTAGATGTACCTGAAGGGAAACGTATTAAACATTCCACTAGCCTTTTAAAAAGGCCTCTAAAAATCACTAGAGTTAAATTTGCTCTGGACTAACTGCCTTTTCTGATTAAGAATCTTAGCATCTTTAAAAAGAAAATAAGGGCTTCTCTCTACTACCAGGAGATTGACACTGGAGCAATCAATCCAGTATGGGATGATTTGGCAGATCTACCACAGATTACTCTCCCATCGATTCCAGTAATTCACCAGAATGAGAAGTATAAGGTTAGTCAATGGGAAAGTTTCTCTCATTGACCTAGTGCAGTATAGACACCATAATAAACCAATCTAAGCTACGTCAACTCCATTTGTGTTGTTCACATAGCTGTAGTTGCATAACTTAGATTGATTTAACCCTATAACATAGACCTGCTCTGAGAGAAGTAATCTTTAGGATTTTTCCATGCTCTGAAACTTAAACCATTTTTCAGTTATTCAGCTTAAACAATGTAAGAATGTACCAGATGTGTTCTATGGCACATCCATCCGATAAACCATCAGGGGTACTGTTGCTGAATGCCATTTTGGGAAAGCACGGAAAATACATTAAAATGTACCACTGAATGACAAAGTCAATTAAGAAATTAGCAAGGGTGGTGCAAACTGAAATGACTTTGTTCATGTATTTGACAAGCTTTATGGAGCTTTATGCTCAACACTTCTGAAATCAAACCACTTAATGCTCAGATAAAATATTTAACGGTCTTAACTTTACTCAACCACTTCTGAAAATCTTGATTATAAAGCATTACTAATAATGGAGCACTGAACAGAACTCAGTTATCAAATTTCTCTGAAGAGCGGAGGGGAAGTTGCTGCCTGTGTCCAAATCATGGAGTGAATTAGCAAATTGCCAGTTAATGAACTTCTGTTATATCACGTGAATTATTTTTAAATAATTCTGTCTCAGTATATATTTTGTCACATTTGAAATAGAACTCCTTACTCGAATCATTATTCATCTGCTTATTTCATATGGCTAACAGTAAGTGATACATTTTTAAAACAGTGTATTGAATGTGCTAGTTATCACAAGAATCGAGCAGGTTCTCAACACTGTTATTGCAGCTAATCTCTATCCCCTGTGTGTCACTGAGGGATACAGCCAAGATAATCCGGTTCCCAAACCAGCCAACTGCCAAAGAAGTATTCTGTACAGAAAGAGGCAACATTCTTATAAACATGAATCAAAAAGAAGAAACGGAAGGTTGTTGATATTTCACTAATGTCAAAAGTCCCTAAACAGGCATCTTGTGCATTCTCCATTCCAACACTTAATTTTAAGTGAAAATTAGAGGGCATCTAACAAAATAGTTGGCCTATACCCCACAAAACATACTGCATGGAATTTTTAAAGGCCACAAGACAGGATTTAGGAGTCCACATCCTTTTGAAATTCAGGAGCCTTTGAATTTCAGTCATTGTCGTTAATCAACCGAGATGAAATACTGTAGATTAATAATTACTAAAGCTCTGATCCCATAAAGTCTTAATCACGTGATTATGCCCTGTGAGTAGTCCTGCTAATGTCAAAATTTATAAAGGTTCCTTTTCTAAAATGATTTCAGCTTAATTATGTGCAGTCTGGCTATTCTATAGTTTTCTGAACCAACTTGGAACTGAACCAATTCATAGACTGGTACTTAGGGTTGTGTCAAAAAGTAATTCAAAGACCTTGAAGCAATTTAAGAGAGCTGAGATATAACATTACCTAACCAAGAAAAATCCCTAGATTAAAGAAATTTCCCTCATTTTGGAACTAGTCCCTCAAAAAGGGAATTGATTTTTCTTTTCTTTTTTTCATTTAAATACTCACCCTTTGGCACAAACTATTTCAATATTTGGGGCTCAATCTTAGATTCCATTTGCACCACAAGGAATACCAGATTGGGTGTGATCAGTAGATATGCCAAATGATCAAGTCTTGATAGTCTTTACATAGTTTCTTGCCCAGCGATGTTGTGCTTTGCAAAAATGTATGATTATTTCTGGCATTTCTCACAGATGATTTTAGAAAGTCAATTCACATTTACATGAGGACTTTTAAGTGCATGTACAAAATATTTTTAATTTGCCAATATTTAGATAGGTGCCTATCCAATATAAAATTGGAATATTGTGCAAATATAAGCAGCAAGAGTGTTTGCGAATGTGGATGTGCAGATGCATGAGCAAAATCCAATTTAAATTTCTGGCCTCACATTAGGTCTAAACTAGAGCCCTTGAGACAAATGAGATTCTTTCCATTATCTTCCATGGGCTTTGGATAATACACTTTAAGAAGATCAGAACCTTTATTTCTAAGTTAATTACAATTTCCTGTGTGGAACTGCTTGTTGTTTTGATCCAACTTAACTTTTCAGAACCCCTTGCCTGTATAATTTATTTATTTGGAACTTTTAAAAGTAGACGTGTTGTAGTTCAAATATTTTATTTATTTTATTTCTTTATTAATTTTATTTTGAGATGGCAATTGAATCCGGAACCTTTGACTTCACTCAATCTCAAAAATAAAAAATAATAATAAATCCTACTATTTTTCATGGGAGGTTTTCTAAAGTAACAATTTCAGGGTTTAGTTGTAAGTGATTGCTGACTATTTTTTGTGTGTTAGCAATCTGCATGCCTCTTATAAGTAAATTTTACATAAATAGTGCTAACATGCTGTTTGTTTTGTAACGAGATTAATTATACCATCACAATTTATTAAAAGAAAGGTAAATGATATGATTGTAATTTTTATTTTGTATGCTGTGAATTGATCCAGCAAAATGCCGAGTGCTCCTGTGAAGTTCTCAATGCTCCTCATTTCCCAATGTAATCAAGAGACACTGAGCTTACTCAATACCTAGCATTGTTTATACCCATAAGAGAAAAGGGTTGACCCTATATTTTTCTGAGAATATTTATCATTAATGTTCTTAATAAACATTTTAGCCAGCATGCATTTCTTGCATTGAGATAAATTAATATTAATTTGATAGATGTTTTAGTTATGACCTATAAAGCCTTAAATGGGTTGGGTCCGGGGAATCTGAAGGACTGTCTTCTCCCATATGAACCTTCCTGGGGATTGAAGTCAGCTGGGGAGGCTTTGCTTCTTATTCCCCCACTTGTGGAGATAAGATTAACATCTACACGGAACAGGGCCTTCTCAGCTTTTGCTCCCAGGCTGTGGAATTCTCTTCCTCGGGATATTCACATGGCACCAACACTAGCATTGTTTCGGCATCAGACTAAAGCCACCCTTTTTACTCATGCTTTTATTAGTGTTTGAGTCTGTATGTGTGTGTTCTTCTTTTCTATATGTTTTTAGCAGGTTTTATGTCCCTTTGGGATCTCGTATTTTAAATTTTTATGTATATTTGTATTGTGTTTAAAAAATTTTGTAAGCCGCCACGAATATTTTAAATAGAGAGGTGGGGTAAAAATATTTAAATAAATAAATATAAATAAATAGATGTTGCCATTATGAAGCATTTAAAATAATTTGTCCAAAAACTTACTATTTATGACGAGTTTTGTGCCTGTTCCAAAGATTTTTACAGTTCCCACAGTATTGCAACTTGCTACAAAAACTGCCCTAGTTATTTCTGTTCAGAGGGACCAGATCTTACCAAACATAGGCTAACTAAGAACCAATTAATTCAACCAAAGAAACTGAAGAAATTACAATTTTTTGGGGGGATGAGTTTACCCTGATATTTCCAAACACCGTGTCTTAATATTAATTTGGTAACTTGTTTAAAACAAAATCCTTCATTTCACTGACAGAGAGGATCTGTTTGACATTTGAGACATAATGTTGGACTTGTGTTTTCTGTTGCCTAATTAGTTGATGGAAAAGGGTATTTCAGTTTAATTCTGTTGCATGGTTAGTGTTTTTGTGCCTATAAAATCAGAGTGGTGGAATGGGTGTATTTTTTAAAATACCAGTGTAATTAAAATTTAATTAAAATACTAATTTTACAGTATGCTATGTGATGTGACCTATTCCCTTTTCTTAAACGTTTCATGACCTCTTCTCCCCTTTTGAATAGTTTCCTGAATTTTTCAAATGTAACACTGTCTCATACAATTTTGCATTCCTGTGCAGTATAATTAAAAGGAATCACAAAAGGTAAGTAGGCATGGGGATTGTTTCTATTCGTACTGAGGTCTAGCTGACACTATTGAACATTATGCAACGACAGCCAAATCCTAATTAGACTTTCTATAGAATGTGTTGAGTAGAATCTATTGCTGATACAAACAGGCTACAAAACATGTTTGGCCAAATTCATGACATGGCAGCAATACAGTTACATTGATGTAATAAGAGGAGAACTGGATTCAGATTACACAAGTAGCCTATATTCCTTTATATTGCTTGTGTTTGTGAGCAATCACTCATTTAATTGTTGCATAATTTGGAAAATACCAACTTTTACAATGGCAATATTTTAATATGTTTGGGAAGAAACCCCCTCTATGATGCAGGGTGACTAACGTGGACAAGAAATGATAGTGAGTCTTATCCTGAGGTACTGAGGAGCCTCAGCTCCCATGGAAATCAATGGCAGAGCAGAACCTTTCAGGATTAGATTCATAATGCATGTTACAGGCTCCATCCTCTACTTACTTATTAATTTTATGAGGACTTTTGATACTCGGTAGGGCCCTTTTAATTCTCTCTCCCTCCACTCTCATATGATGGGATTTGTTCATGTTTTAGTATGAATTCGAATTCATTTTGTGCAATAGAAAATTAGCATATTAATCTAAAATGCCTATGGTAGTAATCACACATACAATATTCACAATTATTGGCTGTCTTGGTTCACAACCTTTCTCCCAGGCATTACTCCTGCTTTTATACCCTTAACAAGAGAGAAAAAATTAGGATGAAATCCAGGCTCCATCTAATTGAATGTCAAACCTCCCATTGACATCAACAGCCCTGGAACTCCTGGCTAATACATACTTTTGATAAAAGAGGCTAAATCCTGGTCACCAGCACTAAGCAAAGCAAAGGGGGTTTCTCTAGAAGCTACAGGGTGGATGAGAAGATGAAATCCTTCTCCTAACCTAGCTAGAGCATCATAGTCCTGGAGCTTTTGTAATGTCCATGCAGTTGCCCACCCACTGATCAAGGCCACTTGATCACTTTAATCACTGACCCATTGGACATTCCATGCTCTCACCTCTTCCCTACCTCTGATCTCTGATGCACTTTGGTGTACGGGGTCCCCTAATATTGATTCTTGGGCTTGCCAGCTCCCCACACTCAGTAGAAATGTGGATGTTCTCTTGATCCTGGGGCACTGGGCCCTAAGAGAACAACTTAGCTTTTACCCAGGGTGAGATAAATAAATCTTGTGTGAATAATTAATAGTCAGGGTGATCACTCCTCTGTTTTATGCTGAATTCTGTACATTAACCACATCATTATATAGTAAAGAGATTTGTTCCGTTTCCATTGTTATCCTTTAGGAATAAATTGTGCTCTGCATTCTCTAATTTTATATTAGCATAAGCAACTTTTTCCTCTATGCTATTATAGAACTTACTTGAAACAATGAGCTTTGTGCCAGAGCCGAAGACTTTGTTGTTATAGTTTTCACAGTGTTCATGTGCTTTGTAAAAAGTCACAGGCCAGATCTTCAGTTGCTGGAAATCAAAGGTGTTCCACTGAGGATCTAGCCCATATAGCTTCATATTTTTGATGTGCAATTGTGAACAGAAGTTGATATATGAAATTTTTTAATGTGAACACCAGTCCTCTAAAGAGTCTTTGCTCACAAATGCATATCACTTTCTGTCATAAAATTTGGATTCGGTCTTTTAGAACCAATGGGTTTTGAAACAGATACTTACATATTTTTTCTATAAAGAGTTTGTTACATTCAATCGGTAATGTCAAAAATGAATACCTAGAACTGTTTCAAAAGGCAGCAAGTCAATTTAAACCAACTCTAGACTACTTCTCATAATCCAATAATTCTCAAAATAAAGAAATTATCAGTAATAGTAGCTCTTTTGTACTGTAAAGATGTGATCTCTGGGACTCTCAATAGGCACACCAAATATTTTTGCATTTGTTTCTGCTATGAAACTTAAGTATTGTTGAATTTATTTTTCTTGTTTTAACCTATTTTGGCTAACTTCTGCCATTTTCTTCCTACTTTTTCCTGAACAATAACCTTTTATAGAAAAGAAAACACAATTCCACTAAGTTATTGTTACTATAAATGTATCCTTTAATGCTGCCTAAGGGCTGGATCCTCCAGTGCTGATCATCTTCAGCATCTGTTTAAATTAATGAGCATTGAAGAAGCTCAGCAAGTCACAGGACTGGGTGCTAAACATACTGTCTACGTCTAGACTGGTAAGATTTAGCACAAATACTCTAAACGCAAGAGTTTTTGCGTTAGAGTATTTGAGTAAGAGAGTGTCTATACTGGTATGTGCCTTTGCGCAAAAGATTTGCAAAAGCATCCATGCCAGGGTAGATGCTGTCTCGCACAAGAAAGCTCCAATGGCCATTTTAGTCATCGGGCTTTCTTGCGCAAGAAATTGATGTTACCTGTCTACACTGGCCTCTTGCGCAAGAACACTTGCGCAAGAAGACTTATCCCTGAGCAGGAGCGTCAGAGTATTTGCTCAAGAAGCACTGATTTCATACAGTAGAACGTCATTGTTCTTGCACAAATACTCATGGCCAGTGTAGACAGGAGGCAAGATTTTGCGCAAAAGCAGGCGCTTTTGCACTAAATCTTGCCAATGTAGACACAGCCACTGAGTTGTCTAAAAACACAAGTTCTACATTTGACAATTGTTGCTCGCTGTAAGCTTGTTTCCTCTTCCAAATATTTTCCAAAGCATAATCATCAGAGTTACAATGCTCAACAAAATCTCTAGAAAATAATTCTTGTTGATTGCCATAGTGGTCCCTTTTGAATTAGAGACTAGCAGAGTAAATCCTGCTCCTCCCTTCCTCCCATTGACATCAATTGGAATTTTGCTTTTTACTTCTGTGGAAACAGGATTACACCCAATATGTTTATGAATAGCTTGATTTTGTCCTAGCTTACAAGCATGGTAAACATTAGCTTTGAAAACATCTTGAGAAACTTACTTGAAACCACCAATGTGGTGCCCGAGCCAAAGTACTTTACTCCAGACTCACATCATTGAAATCCTCTACAAAAACTAATGAATCATCAAGTCAAGAATTTCATCAAACTAAAATTTGGATGTTCTTATTTTACATACAAACTCCACAATCTAAACAAGACCTGCTAATAGCCACATAACTATGTGAGCATTAACCTGAGTTTATGTACTTTGTGGGGCCTTTTTGCTGCCAAAAATATTTTTTGCTTTTTATATACATCACTGCATGGCAAATTGATTGCGGTAAATTGCTGGCCACCAAGTGCGTCAATTGATTTCAGTGGATGAGCCGGATTTAGTCCGATGATCTCAGATGTGCCTGGAGGGAAGGATGGTCCTTTAGTTAAAGCACTAGAAGGGGACTCAGGAGAGTTGGTTTGTTTTTCTCTCATCCAGTCTGTTCCAGGGCAAATCGCAATCTGGGCTTCCCGTTACATTTGACCGTGCTCTTAATGTATGGTTTAGAGTAGACAGTGACATTTGCTAGGTAATATATTCTAAATACTGTTTTATACTCGACATTAATTAGCTCTTGCTCCACTCATCTGAAGAAGTGGGTTGTGCCCACGAAAGCTCGTGATACTATCTATATTCTTTTGTTAGTCTCTAAGGTGCTGTAGGACGACATTTTTTTCACACTTACATAGTTGACCTATAATATTATAGGCAGAATATTATTCACAGGAGAAAAAATTATGTCCGTAGATCAGTTACTGAGACCCTGAAGACTGTTGCCTCCTAGGGAGTTTTCTGTCTTAAACCATCAAAGGCTGATATAGCATTAACGACAACAAACTTTTTAACGATCTCACATCTGCTAAATTGAATACCTGATCTGCAAATTTAATACACTGGCATTTGGACGCTTTCAATGGGAGATGAACTGGTTCAATACTTTAAATGTAAAGCTTTCCATTTCCCCACTTCCTGATCCTTAACAGATAGTCAGTAAATATTCCTGACTTTCACTCTTGTATTTACTTTACTTATTAGGACCAAACTCTGCCCTCAGAGAGCACTTCGGTGTTCTTGGGACTTCAATATACAGATCAAGAACAATCCATTTCTTATGAGCTAATTTTTTTCTTATATTTATTTACTCAGTAAAATGTTTTGCCTTTCATTCTATTTAGCTAAAGAAAAAACAATCAAAAGTAAAAATACTTACCAGAAACAACTAGCTGGGTTCCTGTGCCAAAGGACTTGATCCGAGTTGAAGTGTCACATTGACTTTCTGTTTTACAAGAACCTTACTTACACTGTTGTGTTGTTGCTCCGATAACTAGGCACTGAAACCAATAGATGAGATCATTAGAATAATTATGTATTCCTGGCTTTTGACAGTTTTGGGAATTAAATGAATGTTACATTTTTGTGCTGTCATAAAACAGTAAATTCTCTTCACAGTGATTCTATTTACATGTCCATGCTACTTTTCAGTTAATGAATACTTATTCCTGAAAATGGCTTTTGTTTGGTTTTAATGTTATAAATAGACTGCTGGATGAAGTGGCTTGCAGACATTTTCATTGTGTTGTCCACATGCTGAAAGAGAGATTGTCTCACGGACTAGCCATTCCACAGAGCAATGCTTACCTTCTCCCACTTGCATTGACAACACATCCCTGTAGCAACTGTGTACATGGAAAAACAAATGCCTGAAAGTATTCTATTCTGATCCCTAATCCTGACATTTAACAAATGGAAATGAGGAGGAACCAGCATCATGTGATCAGCCAGCTCTCTAATGACTAGCACAAAGAGCTCCATAGTTTGCAGCTGGGAGCCTGTTCTGTAGTTAGATTTTTTTTTTTTTTTTTTTTGCTACCCAAATATATGTAGGGATCATTGTAGTATGAATGTTCCTGATTTACAAGTGTCTTTTTATATGGTCGTTGGGGCGGGGAGAAATATTTTCCTCTGCATACACACGTGTTCTAAAACAGAACAGAGATAACATCTGAGAAAGCCCACCTGCTTTCAGACAAATGGTGTGGATGACAATCTAGCATCTGAGAGCAAACGCCTTGCCTGCCACCTCACTATCCCACAGAATAATTCTGGGAAATAACTGACAGTGGTTACAAAAACTGAAAAAGAGAGGTTCCACCAAACTGCACAGGTGACTTCATCAAAGGGCATTTCTATCGAAGACGTATTTGGAACTATCTCCCAGGATGGCAGGGGTGCTGGTGAATCGTCAGTGGCAAGCCCTGAGAGAACCACTGTAGTAAGGACAATCATGTTCACTGGCATTTTACACCATGTCTTCTAGAGGTTCTCTGAGCTGGTTTAAGTGACACCATTATACCAATAGCAGCACTTGCACTGCTGCAGTTGCTGGCCTTTGTGGGGCCATCCTGAAGCTAGTGTAACAGCGGGAGGTTTCCTGAAATAAGGCCACTGTTGCTCCTCTCCCTAGCAAATATACCACGTCATAGTTGTGTGTTATGTAACACCACAGTTGTAATACGATTCGGTCTTGCCAGTATGGAGAAAGCAAAAATGAATGGGAAAGAGGCAGGGTGGAGGCTTGAGGCAAGGGATGGAATGGAGGAAGAGCAGGGGCTGGAATAGGTGGATGGGGTGGAATGGGAGTGGGATATGTGTGGAAAGAGAATGGGGGGATTGAGCATCCCCTGCTAGAGGGAAAGTTGGTGCCTCTGCTATTGCTCCCCCACTTCTACACAGGTTCAGGTGCTCCTGTCAGACCCTCACATTAGCCAGAGCCATCATTTCCACAGGATGGTTCAAGGCTGCTGCCCCCGGGGAAGCCCCTGCCCCACAGTGGCTGCCTCAACTGTCCTATGGATAGACTGGGCTGGGGACGGCAGCAGGAGTTGACCTGCCCCTATGCCACACTCACTCTGGTGGCAGGAGCCGCAGAGGCCCAGCAGCAAGCTGCACTCAGCCCCACTCTGCTGCTCTTCTTCTTCCAGTGTCCTTGCGGGTGTTCCAATCTAGGTGTTAGTGCATCCTTGTGCTGGCCATCAGAAGTTGTTCATAGCAGTGCCTTACTGTGCATGCACAGCAGTAACCTCGTGCTCTTGTGTCTATTGACTATGTGCGTGGCATGGTGTAGCAGCCTTGGTTCTTTCTCCACCATCTTCAGCAGCAGATGGAGCTCGTTGGCAGTGCGTCTCTTCTTCCTATAAACAATGAAAACAGTTTGACTTACCTTCTTTTTCTTTACCCGGGACTTGGCCATTCTCCCCTTATTTTTACTTTAAAACAAATCCATCTCTCCCCCTACCCCATCCTGCCTTTCTTCATTCCAAGCCCAATTAGACCTGTTACCAATATGCTGAACTCTCCTGGATTCAAAAAGTGTGACTCCTGCAGGGAGCCCATGCCCATTTCTGATGGGCATTCCTCCTGGGTGAAGGGGCGGGGAGAGGGCCACATCTCCCAAAAGAGCCCACATTGCCTCAGTATGACCACCAGGGCCAGACACAACAGGGAGCTAAGGGTCAAAGTGATCCTGTTGGAGAGGTCGCTCCACCCTGGTCTGAGATGTACCTCAGGCTCTCAGAAGGCCACTCTAACTGAAAATCCAGGCCTCTCCTCCCCAACCTGGGACTCTCACAAGTCAAGAGCATCTCTGACATGGTCACGGGCTGAGCTCTTGGAAGGCTAGCGTCACTGAGGCACCTCGCACTTCTGGCATTGCTGAGCTGTGCAAACCAGCACTAGCAAAATGAGCCAAATCTGAGCTGAAACGTGAAGTGATCTCCATGGCACCCTCCATACCAACCCATCAAGTGGCACCAAAGACCAAGTAGCCGAACACGCCACTTCTCTGGCACCGGCCAGTACTGCCGCACAGGCGCACAGCTCAGTGTCAGTTCATGCTCCAGCACAACTGGCAAAATGCCACTTGGCACTGGCTGTGGTTGACAAAGTGTCATGGAAATGCACCACGCCTCAGCAAAGAGTGGAACCGACTCAACTGCAGTCTCTGATCCCTAATACCAACAGCTTGCCACGGTACCACTCGGACCTCTATGATTTATCACCTACATCCTCCTCATCTCCTGACTCACCAGACACCTCAATAACCATGGTACAGCCATCCAAGGCCCTAATCACCACCACTTTATCCACCACAGTGGCCACATGGGACCCGTGGGCAGCCTGTCAGCAGCAATATACTGCTCCATCGTCACATGTCTATTATATTCCATTTTACATAAGAACGGCCATACTGGATCAGGCCAAAGGTCCAGCTAGCCCAGTATCCTGTCTGCCGACAGTGGCCAATGCCAGGTGCGCCAGAGGGAGTGAACAGAACAGGGAATCATCAAGTGATTCCTCTCATGTCATCCATTTCCAGTCACTAACAGACAGGATACATCTGCACAGCAGTGTTATTTCGTTATGTTATTCTGAAATAACATAGTGCGAGTCTACACCACAGGCCTTTATTTCAAAATAATATCGAGTTGGAGGACTTCTTATTTTGACTCCCGTAACTCTCATTTTAGGAGGAGTAAGGGAAGTCAGAGGAAGAGTACTCTTCCTCGGACTTTCTGCTGTATAGACAGTGCCAAAAGCCAAAATAAACTGTTTCAACTTAAGCGACTCAATTGAGGTAGCTTAAGTTGTGTAGCTCACTTTGGCTTTTAGCCCTGCTGTGTAGACATGCCCACAGAGACGAGGGCACCATTCCTGCCCATTTTGGATAATAAGTATTGATGGACATAACCTCCATGAGTTTATTTAGTTCTTTTTTTAAGCCTGTTCTTCACAATGTCCTGTGGCAAGGAATTCCACAGGGTGAAGAACAGGCTTAAAAAATGTCCTGTGGCAAGGAATTCCACAGGTTGACTGTACAGTCATTTGATGGCTCCTTTCTAAATGGAATATTTTGCATTTGTTCTTATTGAATTTCATCCTATTTACTTCAGAAATGTTTTCCCAGTTTGTTTGATTTTTAATCCTATTGTCCAAAGTACTTGCAACAGCCGGAAAGGCAGATGCTAAACCCCATTCTGTTTTTAGCAGCTGGTCAGAGTGTCCTATATGATACTACCTGGCAGTGGAGGCCATATCATGGGCAAGTTCACTGGTCTGTGATAGTAGTGACAGCTGAGATATAGTTGTGTCCTTGGCCATCATATTGTTTGCTTTCAATAAGTGTGAGGAAGAGGAGGAGGTGGGAAACAGGGTAGGAATGGGGGGATGACTAGAAAATAAAGAGCCAGGCAGGCAGTGGAGACAAGTCAATGTGAGAAGGGGATGCTGCAGCCACAAGAGACAACAGCAGCTGGTAATTTTTATTCATGCCTTTTCCAAAACCTCAAGTTTTGAGGTTGATAGAATTGCTGCAGGCCACTTTAGCACCAGATGTGAGAGCAGAGACCTGCTCTCTTCTGTGTTGTTGGGGCCACCCTGCCCCCGGTGGCTGGGAGAAGGAGGAAACAGCCTGATTAAAACTCAGAGTGTGTGTGTGGGGGAACACAAGGAGAGATGGGGTGGGAGCCAGAGTGTGAGAGGCAGAATGTGTGTGTGTGTGTGTGTGTGTTTGTGTGTGTGTGGAGGGGGGGGGGTTGGGATGACTGATAGAGGTGGTGATTCAGTAATACAGGAAAGAGCATGGGAGGCAGAACAACAGAGAAGGAAATGGATTGGAGGTAGCAGGTGGGTGATAGGAATAGAGGGAGGGCGAGAGGGGCATATAGGTGTATGTAAGAACGGAGGTGGAGGGAAGACAGGAGCAGAAGGAGATAGGGCAGAAGATGGGGGCTGCAGAATGACAGAGGCTGAAGGTCAGGTGTGGCTATAGGAGAGGGGGATTGAGAGAATAAGAGCTGAAGAGAGGAGGATGCTCTAGTGCTGTGCTGGCCTTGGACTTTTCTCTTTTACCAAAGGCTTTCTGTGTGGTCTTGGGCAAGACATTTAGTCTGTATAGACTTCTGTTCCTCATTTGAAATAAGGGTATAATAGTACTTCCTTACCTCACAGTGGTGTTGTGTGGATAAATGCATTAGAGATTGTGAGGTAATTAGACACTATGTGAAAAAGGCATAGAAACACGTTGGGTGCCAGGGATGTAACAGATGGGGCCCACTAGAGAAACCTTTCTTATAGTTCATAGCCTACATTTCCTTCAAATCAATAAACTGGACAGAATCCTGCAATGCTGAATTTTATTTAAAATACATCAATATTTCAAGTAAAATAGTCAGAAGCCTGTTTTTATTCTATAAAGCAAATACATGCAATGAGTAGCTATGAAATGAGGAATCCTTTTAAATTACAGATTAGGACTCCAGTCCTGCAAATATGTATGGGGCTGAGTTTTCACACAGACTTTACTGCATGCTGTTGGGCTGCCCAGATCCAAAACGTTCTTTGTGTGCACAAGTGTTTTTGCAGTAGAGGAGCCTACGAGATGGATCCTGCCCCGCTTTGTGAGGCAGAATTCCCACTGAAACCAAGGAGTATAATCTAGGAAATTCAATAGTTGCAAAATTAAAATGATAAAAAAGACCAACTGTAAAACTGTTAGGCCCCAAGCAGAAGAAGCCTTCTTATGCTATAATTAAAGAAATAACCAACAAACTCAAACTCAAAGCATATCTTAATATGTGGAGCAAGGTGTTTCATGGTCATAAACCTGTTCACAAGCAAAGTAACTTTCAGACACAGATGTTGAGGCTGGAAGGCTGAAGGAGAAGTTCAGGGTTTCTTTCCATGTCGTTTGCTTGAACTTTTCATTCTGTACATGAAGAAGAGTACGATGATGTAGTACATGGTGCTTTTCAGGAGAAGGAGGATGTATACGAAATATGCAGTTGTGTGCGTTAAACTCTCTGTAATATCATAATCTGCACAAAACACAACAACAACAACAACTGGTTAATGGTACATATTCTATAGACTGAAAGAAAAACAATATAAAGCATTGGGTATGATCCAATAAGGTATGTATGGTATTTAATTGTAGTAATTATACCAGCAAATCAGAGTGGGCATAAATCTATAACTGATAGTGTCCTTTATGTTCTGATCATCCCTTTCCAGAGAGCAGAGTGGAGAGAAGCAAAGAATCCATTTCAGTGCTGGCTTCTCTGACGTCTGCTAAGGAGTAGGCAGGATGCTAGTGACTCTGGCACTGAGAGCTTCTAATAGGGTGTTTGACATGATTTTACGGCCCAATATTCAGACTTGGGTGCCCAAGTTTGTTCTAAATCTTCCTGTAGAGAAAATGAGAATTGGACACAATTACCTGTGGAAGGTGTGGTGACATTCTCAGTTTTGTGGATGCAACCTGTTGTGGTTGAAGGCACTATCTGGTTGTCTGGAAGGATAGGTGCTGTTGAAAATTAGGAAAAGAAGTTTGATAGAAGTTCAAAGACAATGATGTTTAAAAATTCTGTAACTACAGTTCCTCCAATATGAAATGTTACATTTTTAAACAAATAAGGAGTCAAATTCCATTCACAGACTAATTCTCAGTAGCAGGTTATTCATTGGGAAAAACCATGTAGATATAAATAAGGAAACTCCCTCACAAATGCTCCCATGGGTACTTGTATGCCTTTCTATGCATTTAGCTGGAGATGTTGTCCCTGAAAGGAGCTCACCTAAAGCTGTTAGTATTTGTGTGAGTGTAGGAATTTGGACTAGCAGATCTGATTGCAGGTTCTCGACATGACCCTCGCTGTGCATGCAAACTTCTGTTTGCATAAGGCTGGATGCATTTTGTCCAACCAAATTACTCAGTTGTGTTTGCTCCTCGACAACATGTATTTATACTCGGCCAATTAAAACCTGGCCACCTGATTGTCTAGCCTGATGGAGCCTGGGATTGTTGGTACTTAGGATAATGGTATTATAGGTTAATAGCTATGTAAGGGGCAGAAGAAAATAATCCAGATGAGCATATGGTCCAAAGCTCAACTCTTAGGCATTTTGGATATGCAAGAGGGAGATGGCCCTGTTTTTCCCCATTGAATATGAAAAAAGATAAATGTGTTTGTGTTGTTGTTAGCTACCTCCAGGCTGAGAGACGTGGAGGTAAGGTACACACTACAAATCATTACATTACCTTAACATTTCTTTTATCTGATGGTACTTTGAGAACTGAAATGTAAGGCGCATAAGCCAGATTTTGAGATAGTATCTATTGTTCTGGCTTTATTAATTTCAACAGTTCTTTGCTAATATACACCATGTGAGAATCTAGTTATATGCAAATAGAAGTTGAACAGATACCTATTCAATCATAAAGGAAATGGTTTTGTTCTTGCAAAGCTAAATTAGACAGAAATTACTTCTCAACATACATTTCTCTTTCTCTTGCATTATCTTTTTCATTTTGGTCTGTGTAATTATTCCAGTCTATTTTAACACATTAGATGCTGTGTGTGTGTTGTTACTTTTGTTGCAATATGTAGCACTTCTTGAAATCAAACACTGAAACCCAGGAGTTTGGCTGGGCTGCATCTACAATCTCCATTGCCTTCATTAGAATTAGGTTTATTTACCCAAGCTGAGGATCTCAGCCAACACTTTCTTTCATTAGAGGAAGATTTTAAACTGAGAGAAAGGAGCCAAAACTCCATTAATGATGGAAATGCAAGCTTGAGAGAGAGCCAATTTATGGAGAGATGGAAACTAATATTGGACTAGAGAGAAATATGTATCCTTTTTAGGAACAATAATGTTGTATTGTAAAGAAACAATGAACCCAGTAAACAGAGAACTAGTTTAAATATAGAGTATATACCTTGGGATTCGAGAGGGACAACACCTTTTCTGCTTTCATGGTCATATTTGCATTTATACGTCTGGTCAGGATCATCGACAGTCAGCCAGCTAGTCACTGAATATGATTCTGTATTGTCTTCCCGGTGCCAAATTTCACCACGTATTGCATTTTTCTCTGCATTCAGGCCTTCCCAAGTCACCTTAATAATTTTTGGGAAAAAATCCTCAATGAGGCATATGTGTGTTCCTTTCCCTTCTTGTTTAGTAGGAGACAGGATCTGGATCTTCTCAGGATCAAGTTTTGCTTTTGTATCTGGATTCATTTTAGAGAGAGAAATGAAAAGTTTAGTCATTAAGTAAATTGAGAATTTAATTTTACACTTTTGAAACAATAAAGAATTCACAGATTTTAAACTAGACTTAGACATAGGCAACTTCATTTTTTTAATGTTTTGTGCTTTTTGATGCTTTTTCATTGCTTGAATTGAACACATGTATTTATGAAAGAGAAGAATCTGTGATAGTGTTTACTAATTTGTCTTCCAAACTCAATATATATTGAAGACTTTTTAAAATGAATGGTAAGAACAGCATTATGTTGTGGTTTATTTCAAAACATTGGTGACTTTGAAAATTTGCCCATTATTTAACCAGAACTTGTGTGTAAAAGACACCATGATAATGGGAGGAAGGGTACATCTATACGACAATAAAGGACTCACAGAAGAACCTTGTCTGTCTCAAGTCCTCTGGTTCTGGCTTGCAAGGCTGTGGTGCTGGGCTAAAAGTTGCAGTGTAGATAGTTAGGCACAAGCTCTGAAAGCCAATAATAGAGGTGGTCTATGAGCCGATACTCCAGTTTAAGCCTGAATGTCTACAGAGCAGTATTTCGCACTAAAGCCCCAGACCTACAAACCTGAGTTAATTCAGTCAGGCTCTGAGACTTGGTGCCATGTGATGTTTATTCCAGTGTAGAGATACCTGCAGCGTAGGATATTAAAGGTTCCATAAACATTTTAAGAGGCCTCTTTTTAAAAATCGCTCTAATATTTTATCAAGAGATTCCATTTGTCCTGAACTCACCACTCACACTGTTTTAGAACCTTGATTAGCACTTTTAAAAATAGTGAGAAAAGGAAACTTTAAGCCATGTCCATCTTGTGAAATGTAACCTTTGCTGACAATAGTTTTCATTAATGATTCTCATTAAAACAACATACTGAGTGACCTATGTAGAGGACCCACTTGCTAGCACATCAGAGGGCACTGTTGCAGAACACCGTTTTGGGAAAGTACACAAAATATATAGACATGTATCCCTCAATTACAAATATTAATTAAGAAATCCTCAAATGAATTTGTTTGTTTCACAAATAACATGAAGTGTTACGCATAATGCTCAACACATCCACCAATAAAGTCTCTTAAAAATGCCCAGAGAAATAGTCAGAGGCCTACTTTTAGTCAACCGCTTCTGAAAATTTTGATTATGAAGCATTACTAATAATGGGACTTTCAACAGAACTCAGCTATCTAATGTTTGCTGAGGAAAAGAGGGGAGGTTACTGCATGTGTCCAAATCCTCGAGTGGATTAGCAAAGTGAAGTTCTGCTATATCTCCAGCAGTATTTTGGAACGATTCTGCCACAGCACTGAATTTGTCACTCAAGAAAAGCTGATTACAAAAATTGTCACTTCTTGAAATTTTAAAAAATTGCTGACTGCTTTAGAATTGGGTGTAACATGACCAAAATACTTTTAATTAAAAGATTGAACTGAAAGGATGAAAATATTATTTCATCTCTGTGTCAGGGAATGAAATAATAAATACTGAGCCATGTCAACAAAAAAGAAAATTACCTACACAAATCATTATCCTTCTGCGTGTTACTGACAGTAAATGATACCTTTTTTTTAAAACAGTGTATTGAATTTATTATCATCACAAGCAGTGAACAGGTTCTCCACACTGTTACGGCAGATAATCTCTATCCTCATTTGTTACTGTGGGATACAACCCAGAGAATCAGGTTCCCATCACAGCCAACTGCCAAAGAAGTATTCTTTTGCAGAAAGAAGTAAGATTCTCATTTTATAAGCATGCATCACAAAGAAGAAATGGAAGGTTGCTGATATTTCAGTAGTGTTAGAGGTCCTCAAATGGGCATCAAGTGCATTCTCTATTTGTTCCAACACTTATTTTATTTGAAAAATTAGGGACCATTTAATAAAATAGTGGGCCTATACTCCACACGGCACATTGTTTAGAATTTATGAAGTGTAACAAAAATGGAATTAGGTGTCCCATTCCTTATGAAATTCAGGTCATTTTGATAATGTCATCCATTGTCTTTAATAAATAATAAATATTAAAGCTCTGATCCCACAGAGTGTTACTCACGTGCTTAACTTTATGCACTGACTAATCTCGCTAATGTCAAAACTTGTGAAGATTCCTTTGCTGAAATGATTTCAGCCTATATAAGTGGAATTTTGAACAAGCAGGTGTGTTGTACTTGATATGTTTTTATTATATAATGTTTCACTTTTTTTTAAAGAAGGCAATTGGCTCCGGCCCCTTCAACTTTACTCCTTTCTCAAAAGAAATTCTCTTTAGTATCAACGGGAAGTTTACAAAAGTAAGGATTTCAGGGTTAAATTGTAAGTGACTCCCTGCTAATAATTTTATGTGCGCATGCCCTAATAAATCTCTAAGGTGCCACAGAACTCCTTATTGTTTTTGCAGATACAGAAAAACACGACTACCCCTGTGAGACTATTGTGTGTGTGTTTGCAATCTGCATACCACTCATGGGTAAACATAAGTAATTAATGCTGGTGTACTATTTGAGAACAAAATCCATGCACAGTACCTGGTATTATTTACACCCAAGAGAAAAAAGGATTATTACTACTTATGTTTGTTGTTAGCCTGTGACTTATCTTTACATTATTGTGAGCGTTAATAAATTATTACATGCTAAAAATTCATCCAATATGGAAATCTTGCATTCAGATAAATTATTAAACTTATTTTGATAGAGTATGCCATTATGTCCATACTATTGCAACTTACTACAAAAACTGCCCTGCATATTTCTATTCAAATGGATCAGATTTTGACAAGCATAGCATATGTACGCACAACTGAACGCCACTTAATTCAATCCAAAATTACAATTATTTGTCAAGGTGAGGTTACACTAATATTTTCAGGGGGTCTGTTTGACATTTGAGATATAATGTTGGACTCATAATTTCTGTGACCTAATGAATTGATGTGACCTAATGAAATGGTGTTCAGGGATTTTGGCCAGTTGATCTCTCTAGTCACAGACCTACAACCTCAGGCCCTCACCTCTTCCCTACCTCTTGTCTCTAGTGCTCTGTGGCTTACCCCCTCCCCACACTGGACAGAAATGTGGATGTCCTGCTGGTGTGGGGCACTGATCCTGCCAAAAAGAATAACCCAATTTTGACCAAGAGTGAGCCAAAAAAAATTTTATGTCCATCATTAATAGTCAGGGTGATCATTCCTCTGTTTTATACTGAATTGTCTACATTATCTTCATAATTAGATAGTAAAGGCATTCTTTCATTCTACTCTAGATTGCATATCACATTTTCCATTGTTATCCTTTTAGAATATATTGCATTTTGCATTCTATCATCATAAGAAACTTTTTCTCTATGCTACTATAGAACTTACTTGTAACAATGAGCTCTGTGCCGGAGCCGAAGACTTTGATATAATTGTTCTCACTGCGTTCAGGTGCTTTGCAAAAACTCATAGGCCAGATCTTTAGCTGCTGGAAATCATAGGGGCTCCACTGAGGATCTGGCCCCGATAGCTTCATATTTTTTATATGCAATTTTGAACAGAACAGAAGTTCATAGAATCATCTTAACGCAGTAGATTTGTGTTTCAAGTGGCTTGGCCAGCTGCTTGGATAGCCCTGGGGTCAGCCACACTGGCCACTGCAAAAGTAGGAAGGTCACAGATTGACACAGAATCCATGACTTCTGCACCTTCCATGACAGACATGGAACCGTACTGATGATTAGGTGCACTTTATTTGACACAGTAGGAGGAGCACAATTATTCCTATATCATGCTCATTGACAGTGGTAAGCTTGTTTCTGTTGCCAAATATGTTTACTCATCTACTCCTCTCAGCAGGTATTTTGAAAAACTTTGGTAAGTGCTGACCCTGCTTTCATTTACATGGATGTCAGTCTGGCATAACTCCATTTTAAACTCTGGTCATCTGAAGAAGTGGGTAGTGCCCATGAAAGCTCATGATACCATCTATCTGTTTTGTCAGTCTAGAAAGTGCTACCAGACCTATAGACTAAATCGGCTATACCCCAGAGCTTCCATTTTATGTGAATGGGGTCAAGTCAGTTTAAAAAGAGGAATGAGTAGTGAAAGCAAAATCAGGACAGCGAACAATATCTGACTTTTAAAGCCATTTCTGCTTGTTTGATGTACTTGTGAATGAAGTCTCCCTGCTAAGTATGGTCATACAAAATGGGAAGAATCCTGACCCCATTGACGGCACTGCTAATGAGATCTGTGGAATCAGGATTTCACCTCATCTACTTAGAATGGAAATCCCTCTGGTGCTCATAATTCTACTGTCAAATTCTGCCCTGACACAAAATGTCACAATTCCTAGTGACTTTACTTAGAATTGTGCTAAAGTTTGAATTTCTCCTTTATCTTTGGTGTCTTTTTTCTTAGGAGAAACTTACTTTTCAATATTTCAGATTTCTCTTTGAGAAGTTTTTTTTGGACCTGTAATCTATAGTTTTAATGCAGTAATAAATCAGGAAAGCAGTCCTAGGTCCTCATTGTAGGAGGAATACGGGGTCTTTCGATATAGGAGTTTATTTTGAAATTCGACTACTTGTAGACCTGGGTAAATACCAGAAGCGCCTCTTATGGAAAAAAAAAGCGGAGGAAGTATGCAAATTCACAGCACCCCCGATATTGTTTGAAGACATACCCTGGGAGAATAAGGATCTGATTTTCCTTTATTTGTACAGTCAATTATACCAATGCAAATTTCACGTAACATGCTACTTAACCAGGATGGCAGCATTTTCCCTCAACTCTACATGAGTGTAAATAGCTTCAGAATAGGAGAGCAAAGGAGACTCAGGCCCCAAGCATATATGGTTAAATATTGTTACGAATATTTGCTACAACTACTTTGCCTAAAATTCCAAAGATACTTCACACACAATGGCAATCTATAAGGCTAAATTCTTTTACTCTCTTTGGTGTATATCTAAGAAATCAGCTATCAA